AATGCATTTTTCTCATTTATTCAAATCTTCTGCAGGAAGTAAACACTGAAAGATTTAAAAAAACTTCACACTGCAGTATGTACAGTTTTGTGACATCACATGAGGAAATTAATTTCTAATAAAAATGAGACCAGTTAGATAAATTACTGAAGACACATCACAATAAAATTGGTTGTGGTAAAATCCCAAAGTCTCATGTATGGCAATGAAAATCAATATTCCTTTGTTTCACAGGGATGGAACAGTCCTGGTACAATATTTCTGTTATGCAAAATGGAGTCCTGAACTTACATGACTGGTTATAGTTGTATGAGTACTTCATGTTTTAAAAGTAGTTTTGTGTTTCTGTTTTTCTTTTTTCCCCACACCCTTTTGATTTGAAGCACATTCTTTCACAAAGCTAAAATACCACAGCAGAAGTCATGTCCAGAAGTGGAATACTGTTGCATTTTGAACTGACCTGACTTGTTAAGACATTTTTTTTTTGCCAACGCACAGATGCACAGGGTCCCCCATGCACTTTTCATGCAGCAGGTAATCACAACTTTAAATAAAAGTATTTTTCTATACATTCTTCCAGACTTGCAACTGTATACATACATGCAAAAGTTTTTAAACCTATGTGATCATATCTACACTTATACATGGAATATACATAACAAAAAAGATTAAAAGTTTTTGTGTTTTTTTTCCTTTCCATTAGAACAATACAAAATATGTATTTTTCATTAAGGAAACCACTATTTACATCACCTTTTAAAAACCAATTTCAACATATTACAGGTGTAACAAGTCAATATATTTACATTATATATAAATATATATAATATATACTTACCAGTTTACTCCTCTGCAAGATGTGGCAGAGAACAAACTGGTAATATCATGTCACTGACGTCAATGAGAGCTGTAATACTTTCACCAACATTTAACAGGGAAAATTTAAACCATTCATTTCTTTCTTTTAAAAACATTTGTAAATTAAAAATTTAAAAACATTATTAAGAGAAATGGCTAAGAAAAGTGAAAGTTATGGCTAAATTCCCTTTTGATCTTGTAATGTTTATAAACCTCTAAACTGAGCCGCTCAGTTATGCACTATCAGTAGAGACACCAGCAAAACATCTCTGATTCTGTGGTCATATGTTACCCCCCATCATTTTCTCAAACTTTGGCAACGGAGACACTAGAAATCTGGTTATCTTAGTCCCATACACTTCCCTCTGGAAAGAAAAGGCATATCTGCATAGCAATTGCAAGTCCATCCCCAAATCTAGCTAGCTTGAGTGCTACACCACCACAGCAGTTGAAATGGCATGAGCCTGTAGACACCCCTTGAGTATGGCATCGGGCACTTAGCACCCCAACTGCTACTGCAACCATTTCCAGTTAAGTGAACCTCCACTGCTTCACAAAGTGGAGGCAGCTTTCCCCCAGCAGTCTCACCCAGCTACAACTGGGATGTCTTCTCCCCTCCCTTCCTTCTCCTTAGATGGCGAGATCCCACAACACCACCCACCTATCCTGCACCTCTTTGCCTACACAGCTACTGATGCCAATATCTGACAAGGCCCCATTTTTCTTCAAGCCTATAGTCTAAATGCCTAGCTGACACTTCTGCCTTCCAAGTTTGCAAAGCTATCTGTTGAAGCTTCCACTCCCACAGACCAGGGAATCATACTGGGGACACCTGAAATGCATATCCTAGCAGCAAATGTCTACTGAACCAAGTAGACAGGAGTTGCCAAAAATACTAATAAGCATTACTCAACAGATGACCTTGGTCTGTCATTCATCTACAGAGATGGGTGGAAATTGAGGATCTTTGAGTTGCTTGGGAAAACATGGCCAGCCCTACCGGTCCATCTGCTGGTGCAACAAAACCCCTCTTTTCTGATGGAAAAGTCCCCAAGGAAAATAACTGTGGCTCCTTTTCACTCACCCATGTTACAAGATAAAAAATGATTAAAGAGCCTTTGGTCCTCAGGTTTAAAGGCTGTAAATGAAGATGGGGTAGAACTCTCTTCCTTAGGGAGGGGTAACGGTGTTACTGGAGAATTTCATACAGAAAACTGTTGTCCTCTTAGCAGCTGACTGAAGAGTGTTTAGTTGGCATGTTCTACCCTCTTTCTCTCAACGGCCTCATCATTACCTTACATGCTGCTTAAGATTGCAGTGTCTACAAAAGGTAAGTTTTTTTCCATGAACAGCATGTCCTAAACTTAAAATTCTTGTGTATTATACGTTTACTGACGTCTGTGAGAATGGTAATACCTTTCATTAACATCACCTAAAAAGAAAGCTAAATCATTAACCGGTCAAACTGTTAACATTTTAACTTAAATGTTTTATAAAACTTTAAAAACTAAACGTTCAAAAGTATATATTACAACAATAGACTACCATAGAATAAATACATAGGTAAGCATACTCCTAGACTCCGATATTACTGTATGTTAGGGTTAGACTTTCCTCCTTACTTTTTGTCTCAATTTCGTTTTGATGAGGCTTTTCTAACCAGATTTTTTTCACATCTATTCAAGCTGTTTTTTTTCTGTGGAGCCCTTCAAGTAAATTATAGCCCTGTATTTACTCTGGGGACCATCTATTATTCTATATTGTATATATTTCCTAGCTATATACATGTTGTTTCAAGAAAAATAATCAATTAAGACTTTAAGAGACATTTAACGGATGGAACAAATACCATCTTTTTAATATTTCTGCTGGGTTGACTCATATAAAAAGAATTCAGTTCACTGTCAATCCAAAATATACTTTATCTTGTTAATGATTACTCTGTGAGACATCTGAATTGTCACTGGGCCACTTATAAATGCAGTATTAAAGACAAATAAAATTTTATTTTTATATTATACTTCAGACAATGACATTCAAAATGACGCTAGATTTGTGTGAAGGTTTTAAAATATAAATCTTCTTTGTACAGCCCATTAATATATTACGCTTCACCCAAATAACATAAAAATATATCTTTAAATTGCTCTATTATTTCTCATATAAACCAGGGGGAATGTTTTATATCGGATACTGACAAATATTTGTGTTTCCTAAAAGAAGCTATCCCCTGGAGGGGCAAAACAGAATAGTGGTGCATTTTCCAACTGGCAGGCAGGAGAAATCCCTTTCAGTAGAGACTGCACAGGGAAGAGGAGAAACTGAGGGGACAACAGCTCACTGTCTCAACAAGCCAGCAGTTTGGGAAAAGGATCTCTGAAACCAAACTAGAAGGAAAAAGAGCAAAATGCCCCGTCACTCACCCCTGCTATGCAAACATGAGATGAACAGAAACAGCAGTTTTGTCATGTCATCAGCTCCCAATGGTAAAAACAGTCAAAATTAAAACAGAGTGTAGCTTTCATTATCTGTGCAAGCCAACTACTTAACTGCCTGCCGATAGCATGGGGGATTATCAGTGAAATTAGAAGCTACAGGGAACACTTTTTTTTTTTCCAGGGGAGTAAAAAGTTCAGCAGAACTTATGGTTGCCAATAATGCATGTAATTTAGAGGAACTGGATTTTGTCCTCCTCCTCCCCCGTGAGAAATAAAGGCTGCAAATGGAGTTAACACTTGACAGCATTAACAGGAAAGCAGAGCTGCATGGCTCTTCCCTTGCCAGCAATTCTTTTAAGGTGTCTCAGCTCTGACCGCAATTTTCAGTTACTCCCATCTCTGTCTAATATTGCCAGATGTTACAAATCACAGCACAGGTGGGGATTGAGGAAAAGGGCAGAGGAGGATTTCTCAGACGTGTCCCACTATCCATTACGGAACATGACAAAACCACAATTTTATCCTCAGTGCAACCAGAAAAATTATTTGAAAACCAGGTTTTCTGCAGTGACGGGGTAGTGCATTAAACCATGCATCAGCTGTTCAGAGAGTAATAAATATTGGCAGAATATGGATTCTTTTCCCTGGTTGTAGGAAGAGGCCAACACATTTTTCATTAAAATCCTATTCCATCTTTGAGTGGAAGCCTGAAGTGCTGCTTTAGCACAGTTAGCAGGGCTCAGCAGGGGAAGCAGGATGGTGCTAAACAGACATTTCATTTCACAAACTTCCCACCATTTTCCTCACTAAATATTTGCAACTAAGCTTTCTTAACTGTACTACACCAAGAGGCATTTTGGCTTTCCCCTTTTAACCAGGAAACTGACAGGAATGTGTTGACAAAAGGCCTCATGCAGTACTTGCACGGCCTATGAAAATCTGCCTTTTGTATAAAAACCTAGAAAAGTCCCTTAATCGATTAACTAGTAACTCGTAACTATGGCTAAAGATTTGGAGGATGGCATTTATCAAGAGCAGGGCAAGGAAGAAAAATAGATTTTACACCACTATTCCATCAGGACCACAAACAAGATTTAAAAATAACAATAAAAATTTTGGGAGCACTAAAAAAAAAGCATTTCAGTGCATTTCATTTATTAACACTGACACAGGTTTTCCAATATGATGAGCTAATACCTTGGACGGACTGCTCCTTTTCTTAAAAGTTATTCTTAAAATTTCACAAAACATATTAAACATTCAAAAAAAAAAAAAGAAGAAAAAAAAAAAGTACACTATCTCTATGTTCAGGCTTCCAAAAAAATAAGGATTATTTTACAGAGACGGAGGAAATGCAGCATTAACACCGCCTAGGCTGTATGCTTACACTTTATGTTATGCCAAAAACTTGCAGATCCAAATAAGACTCTGATCAAAAGGTACTCATAACTTAATCTGATACATACACAAATGTCTTGTACAAATTACAACCTTTCTAGTTTCCTTGTGACAATCTACTGTAAAGCAAATCTTATCTACATGTATTTTAAATAACATCACCAGAAAAATAAAAAGTTTAAAGTTTATCAAATGAAAATATGTTTCAATTAGACCATGCTTTTCTAAAATCATGCTCAATTTATACAGTAGTCAAGTTCGTACTCATTTTTATTTTTTCTTTTTTTTTTTTTTTTTAAACAAAGATTCAAAACCACTGATTGTAAACTCACTGAGGAGGCTGTAGTTTACTCTGGCTCTTTTTTGATTGTTCGCACTTTTTCCAGAAGTCCATGCACTTCTCCATTCACAGCATGCTGATGAGTGGTCTTACTCCCTATATGGCTGTTGTAAGGGCTTCTTAAGTTGGTAAAAGGAGTTTTAAGCTCTGCATCAGATATCAACTCCTCTTTGATGGTAACATGAGTTGAGCTATCAGTAAATGAAGGTCCATTCCAAATTTCTTTGTCATGTGCTTCTTGGCTACTAACAGAGTTGCCGCCTTTCTGTAACATATAGTACAATATTGGATTGGTTTTGGTCAGTCTTGGAGAGTCTTTTTCATAATCATTCTTGTCCATACCTGTGATTACCCATCTGATGGGCCCTTTTTCACTGGGCATGGGACACATGCTAAACTGGTCAGACTCGAGTCTAGATACTGTACTCCCCAAATGTTCAGGGAAGGGGGAACCGGTGGGACTTTTTACTGTTACAGGATACTGAAATGTTCTATGATCTACACAATTGTTCTGTTGCACAGGGCTTCCCATTAACGCATTTACTGATGAGATGCTGAATTCAGGTTTATTAATTGTTGCACTGCTTTTGTTTCCCTTTTTCTTGCCCTCAGCTAGTATGTGATTCCTATGTTGTGGCAGATCTCTCTCACAGTTTTCTGAGAGAAGCAGCTGTTTCAACACATTAAAGCCTTTACTATCTCTAGACCAACTCCTATTTTCACTTTCATTATTTGAACTGTGACTTACAGTGTACTTAAATTCAGCATCACTTCTGCTGAATTTCAGTTCTTGCTGGTTAAGCAAAGGCCCATACAGCGCCTCGGTAGGAGAAGCGTGATTGTTTGCAGCATCAGATGTATTACTTTTCATCTTTTTTAATGGGCTTTCCAAAGGCTCAGCATGAAGCTTCCTCTTCTTCGGTACTGTGCAAAGACTCTTTGATTCAAGGTGTGTCAACTCATTGTTTCGGTGACTTCTGTCTAGCTCATCTGCAGGGTAACTGTCTTGATTCTGCCTCAGCAACCTACTTAGTAGGCCGTTTTTGGAAAAAGAGAAATCTTGAGGTGAAATCGGCTCGGATTTCAACTCCTTGGATGCTGGAGAAGTAGCTGCATTTCTCTGCAGTGAATGTACAAATCCTTGAAATGCATTATCCTTGCCATCTCTTACTTGTGCATTTGAATTATAAGGAATATTTGATTCTTCAGATGGTTCAGTTTTTATTTTCACTGTCAGTATTTGCTCGTTCAAAGCCTTATCTGTCTGTTCTTGAGAACTTTCATCTCTTAAAAGCATCCTCTCTTTCTTTTCACTTTTACCTTTACTGGGAGTTCCCAGAAGCAGCTGAAGGACAGTGCGCCTTTCAAGGAGATTTTCTATTTCTGAACCCGGAATTCCTTGTTCAGCAGGTGCAGGCTGACAATTGAATATTTTGTTATTTTCTTCATGCGTACCCAACTTATTTGTAAGCAGAGGGCTGTTCAATCTATCAATCAAGCCAACAGGTTTATCTGTGTTTCCTGCTAGCAGGTGTTTGCTAGCTCTTTGTTCTTCACTTGACATGGAAGTCTGCATGCCACACTGAGCAAGGTTCTGCAACAGTTTGCTGGCACTGAATGCTGAAGAGTTCTGGGGACTATCATTCCTGCTCAGCTTCACTCCTTGAATTTCTTTGCTTTTGGAAAGGTCTATCAAATGTTTAGATGCGGGATTCACCAGTCTCTCTGGCTGGATGCTGCAGGCATACGGCGGTGAGCTACGCTTGATGGCTAACGATTGGTGGGAGAGATTTATAGGAGAATCTGCTTTTGTAGAAGCCAGCAAAGGGGGAGTGCTTAACGGAGTCATTCGACTTGCACTGGGACTGTCAGTAATTGGAGTCCTTTTACCAGTCTGTACAGAGAATTTTGCCACATCAGCCGCACTGTGTGGTCCCTGAGGGTCAGTAATCTTGTCTACATTTTCCTCACTCTTATGTCCAAGTAACAGCTGAAGTAGTGTTACTTTCTGATGGGGATTCAGCTTAGAAGCTTTTGGAGTGTCTTTGTCTTCCTTGTTCTCTGGACAGGAAACTTTTGGATCCCAGTTATGAAGCAAGGACTGAGTCAGGTTATCCAGTGATGCAGGTGGACCTGCATCTGGTTTATCTGTCCTCTGTTTAAAAGATAGGTCTATAGGAAGACAGTTAGAATGGGAGCTCTCATCATCACTGCTGTCATCCTCTGTAAAACTAGGATTGTTGTCTGAATATTCATCAATAGTTGTTGGTGTGCTGCCATCTTCGAAATTGCTGGCTCTCTCACTCTGTTCACGCCCTTTCATGTGTTTGGTGGTATTCTGACTTTTCAGCAGATGCAAGAGCAAACTGTTGCTGGGAGAGGTTTTCAGGTTACTTCTTTCCAAAGTACTTTTGTATCCCCCAGTTTTGGAAGATGAATGCATGACTCCCACTGAACTCTGAAATGGTGCCATATTGCTTTTGCTAGATACTGGTTTGGTTGATGATCCTGTTTGACCATTGAGATGGCTTGTCATTCCTTTTGCTAAACCAAACTGGCCAATATCTTTCTGAGTGCTTTCCTGTAATCTGGCCATAGCTGCAAGTCTCTCACTTGCTATTTGATTTGCATTTTGTGCTTTTAAAGCATGTTCCCTGGAATACTGCTGCAAGTGAGCTTCACTCGAAAGGAGTAACGCTAGCTGGCTGCATGCTACACTGGGCTTCGGTGAAGCAGCAGGACTAGATCGTTTCTCTACCATGCTTGCAACAGCTTGCAATCTTGCAGCACATGACAGTGGCTCATTTATCACTTTAGGTCCGCTCTGCACCACATGAGGAGATTCGATAAACCTCTCTTTAGGCAGGTTCTTTGTTATATCAGGCAGGCTGTTGTCCAGCTTCTGATCTTTTGCTTTGCTCTTCTTCAGCAGAGTCTTCAGGTGACTGGATGCAACACCATAGCACCTTAAATCTTTCTCCACTTGTAAAGAATCATGGTTAAGGGAATACCCTTGCTCCTTAAGGCTCTGCCTAATCTGCTGTGACAGAGCAACACTCTGCAGCCTAGAGCTGAATGACTGAAGCAAAGAGGCAAGTAATGTGCTATCCTGTTTGCCTTTAGGCACATTTTCAACCATGCCAGCTAACAAAGCTTCATTTTTTCCATCTAAATCCACAATGGAATCAGACAACCGCCTTCTCTTTGCTGCATTCCAGTCTTCTGAAGACTGCAACAGTCTTGCTTTTTTGAGGTGCAGCATGCCAGATCCCTGATATGTATTTGTGTTAAGAACTGGACCATTACTTTGACAGCTGGGGAATATATTTCCAGAAATCTTAAAGTTTTGATCCTCTCCACTATGCCCAGTAGACTTTTTGTCAACTGAAGTACCTGAGCCTCCTGCTGCTTGATGCATTAGTAATCCCTCTAGGTAAGTTAGAACAACAGAATCCTGGTGCATCTCAGAGCCAAGCTCTTCTCCATGAGTCATGTTCAACAAAAGTTTCCAAAAGGGCTCTGGTTCTATTCACTTCAAAGACTAGTTCTGCTGCAGCTGAATCAAGACGCAGTTAAGAAATAATAGGTAGATGTCTACAGTGCTTCCTCACAGACTTTCAGAAACAGTACAAAACGTCATATCCCAAGCAGACTTCTTCTGGTGTATACTGTTTGATGAGTCAGGTTTCCAATCATATCAATCTGCTGTTACCTAGAATATTTACGAAAGTTGTCCAGGAGGAGCATCAAAATGTGGTTCCACAGTAATCAAGTTCCACTAAGTATTTGCCACCTTCTTTCTCCAGGAAGCCAGCTTGTTTTTCATCTTTTTCCATCTCCACCAAGCACATAAAATTTCTACGTTAAAAAAAAAGAAAAAAAAAAGAAATAGAAGATTTAGAATAAGAGTTGTTTTTTTAAAAAAAATCTACAAAGCAAACAACAAAACACATTGTCTTAGAGATTAAGCATATATAGAGCAATAAATATCCACGTTCCAGAAGAAATGAAAAATTAAGTAATGGAAAAAGTCTACGGTAACTAGTTTAAAAAACGTGTTGAGAGAAAATCATGAGAGAAAATTTTATACAAAAATTAAGTTTAATTATCAAAAGGACAGCTACTACACGTATTCATCAAACTTGTTTTTCCTACAGCTCAAAATACGGAATAACATGAAAGGAAAATCTTAAATCACTCTATAATTTTTGACAAAAATTATGCTGGATTATACTTCACACTTGCATCAATATTTCTTCTTACTATGTAAGAATATCCTATTACACAGGATATGTAGACTATCACCCTAAAAGAGAATTAATGGGAAGAGGCTTGCCTAAAATTAACATTTAGGACAAATCTGTATTCAAATAACAGAACAGGCAGCATCATATATATGAATACATTTTTGTTTGGCACATAAATAATATTGCTGAAAGTAGAAACCAAGTTGTCACTGCTTCCCAGAACCATCTAGTAATGCAAAATCTAGCATGATAGCACAGCAGGGAGGAAATCTGTTGTTTTTACAACTCCCAGCTACCACAAGTCATTAGAAGAATCATGTGACTGGAGTGGTGAAAAGAATGCTTATGTTCCTGTTATAACATAAATCCTGGTATTAAAATCCTCCCTTCACCAGAGGATTTTTAGCTTCACATTCTTTCTGTGTATTAAATATATAATGATAAATGAAAAAACAAAACAGGTCTTCCTTAAAGTCTTGTTATTTTCAATTGTAGTCAATACTTTTATTTCTCGGATGAGGCAGTATGCTATAAAAAGCTGTTTTAAAAAACACAACAGTGGCATTTATGTTAGATACATCTCTTCAGTTTTAGTTATATTACTGGTCAATGGTAGCATGAACAGCTCAGTCACCACAGTTCAACATTGAGATCATTGCCCCACACATGCCTACTCCATCACTCATTCAGTTCTAAATTCACAAAGATTCAACATGATCAAAGCTAAGTGTCTTTCCACATTTATAACTCTACAATTAACTTTCACAGACTAAAAGTCCACTGAAAACTTGTATTTAGAAGTTTTAAAAGTATGCACACAGATGAAATCCTTGCCTCCTTAAAATGAATGAATATTTTACGATTGATTTCCATAGGCCATTTTTAAATTTGAAAACTACAGGCAATTAGAAGTCTGAAAGTTGTGAAGAATCAGCAGAACATGTAAGTAGCCATAATGCCAACAGCCCATATAATCCCCTCTGCAAAGAATCCCTTACTAGATTTTAAGTAATTTAGAGACTTTAAAAACTGAGCTATATTAAAAACAAAAACCAAAACCAGTCAACCAAACAGAAAAATCAAACCAAAATTCAAATCCACTTAAAACACAGCAACATGAAGTTGTAGTGTAAATGTGTATACCCATTTATCTAAATTTCAAATGAAAAGATGGTACCTATTGCTGAGGTCCCAGTAATTCTCTCAGAAATACATGTCTACACTAAGCATCATTTACATAATTACCTGTAGAAGACACAATGTTGTTTCAAATATATAACTTGACACTTAAATGTGGATTTATCTAATTAAAAATTACTCTTCCTACAAAAATTTGTGCATCTCTGGGAGGGATTTTGCAGAGTTTCAACCCAAAACAGACAGAACAAATCCTTGTTACACCTTATTTGTGATGGAAAACCAAGTAGTAAATTTCAGGGTCTGAAGGCAATCTCATAACTAAGCACTTCCAGCCAGTTTTGAACCGAGTATGTGTTTCTTCCACTATTTGAAGAGTGGTCATGTGGAAACCAAAGCAGCTTTGGAAATTAATGTTTAGCTGTACACCAAGTCTGTATGTTTGAAAACATACAGACTGTAGCAAAGAATTTCCCTGGACCCACTGAAATGTTAATAGTATTTCTTGTTATTATTAGTCTAGAAATTATCTGAACTGAGGAGGCAAAAATAGTGAAGAATAATTCAGAAGAGAAAGGAGAAGCCATACATCAATAGATCTCCTATTTCCCAGTAACGGCTGAAGAAAACTTACTGCAATTAGCCTCCAACATCAGTCTCTAATACCTATGAATCTCTACACCTAAAACCTGTATTTATTGTCAATATTGTAACAAACTAAATTGATAAAGATAACATACTTTCTTGACCACGTAACTACTGTATATGCACTCTTCGCTGTTGCTTCAGCTCTCTTCTCCCAGACTTCTGCATCCTAACAAATAAATAAAGCACTTGTTTTGCAGAGGCTATTTTCAGAACCTCCAAGAGCATGCACTGATAACAGCTCATTAAGCCACGTTTACCTAGACAGAACTAAAGCAGCTGCAGAACTTGTAGCACAAATGCTGTAACCGGGGGAGACACTCCCCAAGTGGAGCATACCATGGGAAATCAGTCCTTGCAGCCTTTTGAAAAGTGCCTAAGGAGAAACTGTGTGTTGAATAGGGGAGATAAGAAAATATTAGAATGCACTGTGTATGTCCAGACTATTAATTCTACTTTTGCAGTTGTTGGGGGTTTTTCTTTGATTGCAAACTAGATATACTCAGTCACCACAAAGATGTTAAAAGAATGATGATACTAGTATCCTTTGCTTACCATAAAGTATCATTGCTGCAAAAGACAGAGATGTTTGAGAACACATGAACACATCTAACAGGTCAAACCACAACAACCTCTGAGGCAACGGCTTTTTACTCCTGAAAATGTTACTTTTTTTTTGGAGGATTCTTTTAATTAATGAACACCTCAACTGTAAAACCTAATTGGAGACTCTGAACAAACAGCATCTCCCTAGTTACCCCAACAGATATTCAGCTGCTGCCATTTAAGATCAGTTCACAATTTAAACTAGTAAAATGACATCCACAAGACATTTTTCCAATATCTCAGATTAAGATTTCTAGTTAAATACCTTTGCTAAATGGAACAGAGACACAGTAAATTAACAACATTAGACTAGCATTATTTGAGCAGGAGGGTTGTACAGTCTAATGGAGATAACTCATAAAGCTTGTTATTGTCAGGGTGTCTTCTGTAGTTGAAATTCAGGACCTTATGAAAAAAAACCTTATAGAAGCCATTAAGGTTTTTGTTTAGGAAATCAGCAATGGCTAGAAGATTGCCTACATGAAGACTTATTAAAAGAGAGGCTATCCAAACTCAGGAATGCTGGCAGAATGATTAATATAGTTTGAAATGTATACATATACATATATATACACACACAAAGCTTAACTGCATTTCAGAGTTATTTAATGACTATCAAACTCCTCTAGTAATTTTATGTTCCATTTTTGAGATGAGACAAAATGCGAATTTGTAGAGCTAAAATCAAACTGGTCTGTGAAATTAAAATCTTTAGTTATTTAACAAATTCAGTGTTCAAATGATTAGAAACTACTGGAAGAGCCAGAAAAAGTCTCTTACTGACTGACTTCCCATTCACATATTCCCAAATGTAAAGGCTGCAGCCCACCACATCAACCAATGGCTCTGACAGTCATTTTAGTTATTACAGATTTGAGGAATGCAGTACAGTGATTACAGTGGTAGCTTGGGATCCAGGGGTCCAATTACTTGCTGTGCTGCAGACAGGCTAACTTTTGATTTTATTTTTCTATACTCTGTTTTCCCAGGTGGAATAATAGATGCAAACTTCAGAAATATAATTGAGGATAAACGCATTAAATGCTGTGTGTTGTTCAATAGCTTCAGTAAGTAAAACACAGGATTTTAAGTGGTTCTCCATCCTTACAGCCACCTGCAGTGAAATGCTGCAGAGCACAATCAAATTATGGTCTCCAAAAAATTTCCTAGATGCACTGAAAACTGCAACAGAATCTTGCAGCAAACTAAACATGAGTGGGGAAAATGAGATTACCTGTTCAGAATTACTTTGTTATTAAGCTCAATTTGCACTTTGATTTTCACAAGCAGAAAGGATGTATTCAGGGTGGTGGTAGAAGCACTTCAGTTAACTCTTTCTGCTAAGGTTGTAACAGGCCTGATCCAACAACCCAGGGTACCCAATCCACAGAGCTGCACAAATGTGCAGGTACTTCAATGGCACTTAAGCATGTGTGTTAATAGAATCAAGTACTTAAGTGCTTTGCTAAATCCCCACTTTGTAGCAGAAATCTACTGAGATGAATGGGGCAGCTGAGACGTCTTCACAGTTTTGATTCAGGCTGTCAAGACATTTTGAAGGTTCCCTTTGCAAATGTAGTTTAAGAGACAACACCACCAAAAACACACACAAACCCACAACAAACAAAAAAAAACAAACAAAACCCAATAACCCAATGAAACCAAAAGTGATCTGATAGTGGATAGCAAAATTCACCAATAAAAGGGTGTATTCTTCCATGGCTGCACTCAGATGAACTTGGGAATCAACAAACCTTTTTTACAATGAATTAATTGGGGAAAAAAAAAACAAAAAAAAAAAAAACAACAAAACCCACCGAAAGACCCCAAGGATAAAAACCAAAAAATAAACCATCAGGTTCCTCTCCTACAATCATAGGATATCGCTTCGAGAAAGCAAAAGCAGGCTTCCTTCCCAGAAGCTTGGCATGTTATTCACCCCTTTGTTAGCCCTACTGACTGACTCCAAAAGACATTTTAAACATAGAAAGGATAGCCTACTGCTTTTAAATAGCTAGGTGAGGAGAGGCCACATAGCGAATCATGTTGAAGCCAGCAGGAGCCCCGCTGCTGCCAGATTACTGGAGGGAATTCTAAGGCCCCAGTGCCACCACAAAGGTGGCATCCCCCATCATCCCAGGCAGCGATGCTCCCTCCAGGCTGCCACAGTCCTGATGCCTCTTGAGCAGCATCGCTCACTCTACAAAATACCTCCTTTGGATA